GAGCTGGTGACTTCTTACAGGTAGTTAACTTTTAGAGTAAGAGCCTGTTTTATGCCATATCTGCTGTTTTTGCAGTCCTTTGCATTTCTGTTCCATAAAAATGTAATCCTATCTAGTTCCCATAGAGATAACGCCTATTAGAAAGAAAATAGATTAACCACAAGAAAAACAGGGTCAGCTACTGAAGTTGCTTAAGTCATACCAGGTGCAAGCCATAAAATGTTGACAGGCCTGAAGGCCAAAAGATTATACATAGAGATTAACCATAAAAAAAACTCTTGTAAACAAAAAGTATGTATCCTGTTTCTGTTGAAGGTCAAGTTGCTATAATGTTTGAGCTGACCTTTGTGTAAGCAACATGCACTGCCCCCAAAAAAGATGTTGTAAAAGGTATAAAGGGGAAGTGCAAAAATAAACTTCAGGCTTAGCCCCCGAGCTTTGTCTCACTGTGTCTTTTTTCGCCGATGCCGTTCATCCTGAGGGTACCCCTGGATCTTGCTGGGGCTGGACCCCAGCAGCCTGACGAGTGAATGGGACAGCAGGGCCAGTAACAGCCAAATCAAGGAACCTGAAGCTAATGCTTCAACCCTCCTCAAGCCTGAAATTGCCTCGGGCAGTGGGCAACTACTTGTGCTCAGGAGTCCACACAGGTGAGACAGGGTTCCTGGGTACCTCAGGGACNGCCCTCTCCCTTCTGATGGACTTCTTTTTTTAAAGTATTCTTATTTATTTACTTACTTGTTTTTGGCCGTACTGGGTCTTTGTTGCTGAGCATGGACTTTCTCTAGTTGCAATGAGTGGGGCTACTCTCTAGTTGTGGTGCCCAGGCTTCTCACTGTGGTGGCTTCTCTTATTGCGGAGTACAGGCTCTAGGCACATGGGCCTCAGTAATTGCAGCATGCAGACTCTAGAGCACATGCTCTGTAGTTGCAGGGCATGGGCTTAGTTGCTCCACAGCATGTGGAATCTTCCCGGGCCAGGGATCAAACCCATGTTCCCTGCATTGGCAGGCAGATTCTTATCCAGTGTGCCACCAGGGAAGTCCTCTGATGGACTTCTTGACATTCTGCTGCATCTGTTGCTGGTGAAGGTTTGTACTAAATCAGAACACTCTCCACTTATCAGACCAGTGTGTAGTCTCTGCCCTGGTGTGTGCCTTTGTATCCAGCCAGGTGCAAAATATTTTTCAAGAGTAGAGCATGCATGTACAGGGGTAGGTCTGCTGAGTGGGATTCCTAACATGTGACACTCCTACTGTGCTCAGAAGGGTACTCCTCACTCTCCACTCCATGCCAAAACACTGAAAGCTGAGAAAATGCTGGAGAAATTCTTGTTAACTTTGATGGGAGGAAACAGCCCATCACAAATGTATGCCTGACCCAGGAATGACTGCATGGGGTTGTTGGGAAAATGAAGGCATTGAGGTCAGGGTAAGGAAGGGATGCTGTGCACTAATAAGCCTCTAGAGGTCATAGAATCTAGAGTCAGCTTTAACAGGGCCACATCCTCACCAAAGTGAAGGATATGAGGATGGAGCATGGAAGTGGATGGAAAGGCAGGGTCTTAACTTACTTCTCTGTAAATGCTTTTTTAGCAGGATCTTGGTGACTGGTAACACACAAACCCTGTGCAAAGAATGTGTCCAAGCCCAGGAAAATCTGATTAGAGCTGAGTTGCTGGTATTCAAGGACTATTAATAGAAATGTGCATCCTTGTTCAGTTGGTAAATCATGTCTGACTCTTTGCACCCCCATGGACTGCAGCATGCCAGGCTCCTCTGTCTTCCACTATCTCCTGGAGTTCGCTCAAATTCATGTCCACCGAGTCAGTGATGCTATCTAACCATTTCATCCTCTGCTGCCCTCTTCTCCTTTTGCCTTCAATGTTTCCCAGCAAAAGAGGTCTTTTCCACTTCTTCACATCAGGTGGCTGAAGTACTTGTGCTTCTGCCTTAGCAGTCCTTCTAATGAATATTTAGAGTTGACTTCCCTTAGTGGTTTGATCTCCTTGCAGTACAAGGGACTCTCAAGAGTCTTCTCCAGCACCACAGTTTGAAAGCATCAATTCTTGTGCTCTCAGCCTTGTTTATGCTCCAGCTCTCATTTTCATACATGACTATTGGAAAACTATAGCCTTGACTTTACAGATCTTTGTTGGAAAAGTGATGTGATGTCTCTGCTTTTTAATAAGCTGTCTAGGTTTGTCATAAATACAACACATTAATCATAGGCTGATGTTGGAGAGCCCTGAGGAGTAAGTAGTGGAGAGAGTGAGACATGGAGACTGCAACCAAGGATCCACAGCCAGCATAGAAATAACAAGTGGCCAAGTTTCAAGAATGGGGAAGGAATGATATAGAAGAGCCATGAGCCATCAGCTTTGGAGCACAATGTTGAACAGGGGACAGAGTGCTGGTGTGATTTGAACCTAGTCCTGATGTTATGCTGTCCCCCAGGTCCCACTTAGCAAGGCTGAAGCAGCCCCTCTGAGCACCTCTCCTCACAGGTGTAGTATGTCTGCTCTGCTCAGGCACACAGAGCTCTTCCCTCAACTGCAGTTGGGGACCCAGAAGATGTGGTGAGTTCTAAGGGAAAGACATGGCAGGTGAAGTTGCCCCTGTGAACTACTCTACCACAGACTACAGGAAAGAAAATCTAAATGAAACAAAACAAAATACACAAATCCCTGTGAGGAATGTCTTGTGGGAACAATCTAGTGGTCCCAGCCAAGTAGTATCTATGTCAATGCCTATAATCACTGGCACAGTCAGAACCCAGGAAATATCCACTGAAAAGGGGGGCAGAACCCAAATTACATAACTGTTCCAGAACTGGACAACCATCTGAGGAGGGAATGGGATCCACTGGGTTGATCTCAAGACTAATGACTCTTGACCTCTTATCTGAAGGACTTCAGGATGGCAGTTTTGGGACTGAGAGAGGACTGGACTGCTTAAAATAGTATATATACTTGCCCCTGGAGTACTGGCACATATGCCAGAAAAGTCAGGAAGGAGGAAGTGCCCAAGCTCCAGCTGTGGGAGAAGGGGACAGGCAGAAACCAGCTCAGGTCACCAGGGTAGATGTGAAGGTTTCACACAGTGAAGCTGTTAAGTGCAGGGTTGTCCAGCACCATTTCACAGTACCGGATTCTCAGCCTTATCAAGCTATCCCCACTTCCCCCAGGGAGAATGAAATGGCACTATCCTCAAAGGTCACACAGCCCTTTGTGTGGAGGCAATTTATTCCATGAACAGCAGGAATCATGAGCACATCCATTCCATGCTCAACCACTTTCCCAAATTCCCAATTCAGAGAAGCTACCAGACACTCACACTCACTCTCAACTCATATTCCAGTGACTACTGTTAACGCACAGTAGAGACAGGCAGGCAGACAGACAGCAACAAAGCTCTGGGCCTGATAGGCAGGGTATTTTAAGATGTTACCTGGGGTTTGTTTTAATCAGGTGTGGTAAAATGACAGACATGGAGAAAACTGTGAAATAACAAGTGGCCAAGTTTCAAAAATGGGGAAGGAATGATATAGAAGAGCCATCAGCTTTGGAGCACAATGTTGAACAGGGGACAGAGTGCTGGTGTGATCTGAACCTAGTCCTGATGTTATGCTGTTCCCCAGGTCCCACTTAGCAAGGCTGAAGCCCCTCTGAGCACCTCTCCTCACAGGTGTAGTATGTCTGCTCTGCTCAGGCACACAGAGCTCTTCCCTCAACTGCAGTTGGGGACCCAGAAGATGTGGTGAGTTCTAAGGGAAAGACATGGCAGGTGAAGTTGCCCCTGTGAACTACTCTACCACAGACTACAGGAAAGAAAATCTAAATGAAACAAAACAAAATACACAAATCCCTGTGAGGAATGTCTTGTGGGAACAATCTAGTGGTCCCAGCCAAGTAGTATCTATGTCAATGCCTATAATCACTGGCACAGTCAGAACCCAGGAAATATCCACTGAAAAGGGGGGCAGAACCCAAATTACATAACTGTTCCAGAACTGGACAACCATCTGAGGAGGGAATGGGATCCACTGGGTTGATCTCAAGACTAATGACTCTTGACCTCTTATCTGAAGGACTTCAGGATGGCAGTTTTGGGACTGAGAGAGGACTGGACTGCTTAAAATAGTATATATACTTGCCCCTGGAGTACTGGCACATATGCCAGAAAAGTCAGGAAGGAGGAAGTGCCCAAGCTCCAGCTGTGGGAGAAGGGGACAGGCAGAAACCAGCTCAGGTCACCAGGGTAGATGTGAAGGTTTCACACAGTGAAGCTGTTAAGTGCAGGGTTGTCCAGCACCATTTCACAGTACCGGATTCTCAGCCTTATCAAGCTATCCCCACTTCCCCCAGGGAGAATGAAATGGCACTATCCTCAAAGGTCACACAGCCCTTTGTGTGGAGGCAATTTATTCCATGAACAGCAGGAATCATGAGCACATCCATTCCATGCTCAACCACTTTCCCAAATTCCCAATTCAGAGAAGCTACCAGACACTCACACTCACTCTCAACTCATATTCCAGTGACTACTGTTAACGCACAGTAGAGACAGGCAGGCAGACAGACAGCAACAAAGCTCTGGGCCTGATAGGCAGGGTATTTTAAGATGTTACCTGGGGTTTGTTTTAATCAGGTGTGGTAAAATGACAGACATGGAGAAAACTGTCTTTGAAAGAGGAGTTTATTACTTACAGTCCCAAGAGGAAGGAGTATGGCAAGCCATGCAGGGCCACATGGGGAGGCACCAGGGTTGGTCAGGAGGCAGAAAGAGTAAGGAGAAAACAGACCAGAGACCATTGTGGTTTTTGCAGAAGGGAGTGGGCTAAATGGCATCTATTAGCCCAGTACTTGGCCCTGGGGCAACTGAGGACAGGTGGGTAGTGTCTGAGGCTGCAGGAGCCTGATAAAAGGAGGTGGGGGTGTGGACTTAGATTGTTGGTTTGCATATCAAAGTTTCTCACAGGTAACTTGTTTACTTCCTCTAGGAACTAGCTACTCTAGGAGGGGTAGTCTCTCCAGAATCAGCAAGGCCTCCAAGATGTCAAAGCCTCATGAATACAGAAAATAAAAAAACATGATGAATAAAACCCCATCTCCTGGTGTCACTGAGAACATAACTCAATCTTCTTCCTTGATCTCCAACATCAGGGCCCTGGAGTCACCAGTTAACACTTCCTCCCCACATGGATATCACTCTTAAGACTACACTTCTCTCACAACTCTAGATGCCCCCATGAACCCCCAACACCAGTGCTACCCAACTCCTGGCCCACACTCTAGCCTTCTCCATAGACTCCCCACAAGTCACTCTGCACATGGCATTCAGAGAGCATTTGGCAAATGTAACCAGGATCTCATCTGGCCCAGACCTTCTGTATTAGCTTCCTAGTGTTGCTATAACAGCTATAACAGAGTACCACACACTGAACAATAGAAATTTATTATCTCCCGGGTCTGGAGGTGAGAAGTCTGAAATCACAGAGTTGGCAGGACCATGCTCTCTGATGGCTCTAGGGGAGAATCCTTCCTTACCTTGTCTAGCTTCTGGCTGTCACTGGTATTCCTTGGCTTGTAGATATATTTATTGCTCCAGTCACCTGGCCATCTTCTGTGTGTCTTCACATCATTTTCTCTCTGTGAGTATATGTCTCTGTGTCCATTTTCCCCCTTTTCTGAGGACACCAGTCATATTGGATTAAGATCCATTCTGATGACCTCATTTTAGCTTAATTACCTCTATAAAAACAAGCAAGATCACATCCTGAGGTGCTGCATGTTAGCACTTCAGCATATCTTTTAGAGGAGACATGATTAAACCTACTGGCAAGGGCAGCATTCAGTCCTGCTCTGTTGGCTTCCCTCCAGGCTCTGTTCCTGATTTCATAACTGCAACCTCAGTCATAACTACACACAGATGTCTGATGTCCTTGATACTTTTCTCATCTGAGTTGCACAATCTGTCCCTTCATCACTGATGGTCACCAGGTTAAAAGCTCAGTATGTCCACAGAGGGGTGAATAAGCATCAGTCCAGGCCTTACTGTAGTCTTATTTCCATTCCTGCTAAACCCGAGCTTCCAAAAATCCACTCCTCCTTGCGGGGAGGATGGTGGGAAGGGACAGTTAGGGAGTTTGGGATGGACATGTACACACTGCTATATTTAAAATGAATAATCAGCAGGGATTGACTGTATAACAGCACAGGGAACTCTGCTCTATGTTATGTGGCAGCCTGGATGGGAGGGGAGTTTGGGGGAGAATGGATACATGTATATGTACAGCTGAGTCCCTTTGTTTTCCACCTGAAACTATCACAACATTGTTAATGGGCTATACTCCAATATAAAATAAAAAGTTTTAAAAAATGAAATAAAATCTACTTCCCCTTGGAATATTTGGCCACCTGCCAGACCCTGATCTTCCTACAAGCACCTCTCAAGGCCACTATATTTCCTCTCCTGTCCTTGTGATGCCCACCTTCCTCACCCATTGGCCCAGGCAAGATAAAACAGACCTCGGGTCCCACCTTCTCCTTTCTTTCCTTGCAATTTTGTTGCCACCATGACCAGAAGATTTCACCTCCTAAATCTAACCCACAGTTCCACACTCATCCATTCACCAGATGCTACGTTTCGGATGCTTATAACCTCCAAGCCTCCCCAGCACACCCTAATTGTGTGTCTAGTTCTGCCTATTCATAACCTCCACTCAAGGGGTCTCTGAAACATCCGACTCAACATTGCACCATTTGCCTCCTTTAAAATGTTATTCTTTTTTCTTAATTGGAGTATAATTACAATGTTATGTTAGTTTCTGCTGTACAACAATGTGAATCAATCATATGTTTACATATACTCCCTCTCTCTTGAGTCTTCCTCTCAACCCCTCTAAAACTTTTTATTCTTGAAAATAGATCATGAAGAAGGGTTTCATAACTATAGGCAGGCCTATTGCCTAACAGACGATTCTGACAGGCCAAATGATTCAACACTTGAGAACATCACGTCTAACTGCCCTTAGGCCAAAGCTGAAGTGGAACTGACGTGATTTCAAGAATGTGATGGCAGTTGACAAGACATTGTTCACCTCTAATTCTCGGGAATTTTACCCTGCTCCTGCCTCCCCTCTGGATCTCAGAGCAGCCACACTCAGGTCCAAACTGAGATGGCACAGACTGGTGACTCAGTCACCAGGGACTGCCCTCATCAAGACTTAATCACTTCCTCACCTGAACCTGCCATCCACAGGTGAGCACCAATTAAGTGTATGTCCAGGGAGAGAAAAAGGGATTGCTGAGCACCTAGTCAGTTTCTAGCACGATCAATCAAATTGGCCACCAGATTATCTGTTATATTATTTCTCCCACATGCTCAACACTCTCAATCTTTTTATGTGACAATCTCAAAGCTCATTCAATCACTGCCTCCATCAATGATAGAGTTTCCATTCCCAACCTAACCTCAGACCTGGAGGCTCTCCTCCAGGTCCAGGGACACAGTGAGAGAGACCTATTCAAATTGCTGAAGAAATAACTGCTCATCTAACTTTCTAAACATATTGATAGTGTCTTTGGAGTAAGAGCATGGAATAAACTACTTCACATCACAAGTGAGAAATTTAATGTAGAATTAACCTGCTCAAAATAGAATTATTTTTTAAGCATTTTCTATTTAATGATGATGAAAAGTGATCCCAGGTGAAAGATCGGTGATGATAGAAGAAATGAGGCTTCAAGAGAGAGATGCATCTGTGGATTAAAAAAAAATGCTCATTATCTGTGTAAAACGTGAATAATATTCCATTATGAAGTCAGAATGACAGCATTACCATGTGCAGCCTCAATAACATAAATATATGCTTAACTGAAAACTAATGTTAATACTTTATTTTTAATAACATGTACATACTGAGATGGGACAAACTGGTTAATGTTCTAAGTCTCTCAATATTGTGGAGGAGGGAGGTAAGGTATTTGAAACTCTTTGTTCTCTTTTGTTAAATAAGTGTTTGTAATTATTAGCTTAATACTAGGAATCAGAATATATACTTCCAAACTAGAAAAGAAAATTTGGACTGTAAATAAGTAACGGTTGAAATTTTTAAAAATGACCACCTAAAGAACAGTGAGGCAAATAAATTTACATAATAAAAGAATATAGTTGAAGAAAAATACATTAACTATTACATTAAATGAATATATGAGAGATGTTCAAATTAGCTGTCACTGGGCTTCCTGGGTGGCTTGGATGGTAGAGAATCTGCCTGCAATGCAGGAGACCTGGGTTGGGAAGTCCCCTTAGAGAAGGGAATGGCTATCCACTCCAGTAATCTTGCCTGGAGAATTCCATGGACAAAGGAGCCTGTTGGGCTATAGTCCATGGGATTGCAAAGAGTCAGACACAACTGAGCAACTCTTACTCACTCATCTGGGCTTTACAAATTAGCGGTCAGTGATCTTTATTGAGACCAAAATACCTTTTATGAGGAATTTAATTTTCATTAGTGAATTTAAATTTTTATTCAAAGCACAACTAATTCCATGGCATCCTCAGTCACCACCAGTGGGAAGGAGCCAGAAGTTGAGCAGGGATGTCCTAGGTTTGGCTGGTGGTGTGCCAAGATCTTATATTGAAGGTCGTGAGGGTCATGACCAAGGCCTAAAGCCAGCTGAGATGTCCATGGGAAACTGTAGTACATATGCTTTTATTCAGAAAATCACTAGGTCAGCAGCACTCTCTGGTTGGGGAGATGGGGGTTGGGAAAGGTGTATGATCATAATTACAAAAATATCTGCCCTTTTAAAAACATGTTCATACATCAAGCATACATACATGTATAGATGCTGTGTCCTTTAACCTACAAAGCAGTCTGGAGAGGTGAATCTGCCCAGTTTACAGAGAAGATCAAGGCCCAGAGATCCCTGTGTTGCCTTTGGTAATATTTGGTAAGTGGCTGGGAATGTGCCCCATAGAGCTGCAGTTCTGCCCAATACCCACATGATCTACTTCCCAGTATCATCTAATCTGGGCTGGGCCAGGGTCCCTCTGTGTCAGAGAAATGAGGCCATAGAAAAATGAACTGCCTGAGTAACCCTCATGGGGACAGGGAAGAATCTTGCCTTTCCAAGCCCTAGAAACAGCAGCCTTTGGCTCCAGCAGGTTACTGTGTACTGACCAAGAAATATAAACACAAGAACAGGACATGCCCTGCAATCCCATGTATGCAGTGGGTTTTTCAGAGATGAGAAAAGTCATCCCCTGGGGCTCACCCCCTTATCCCAACCATCCATACATCCTACTAGCTCTGCTTCCTAACATGATCCTGGTCATACTCTACCCTCCAGCTTAACACTAGAGTCCTGGGTCAGTCCACTGTCAACACACTCCTGGATTATATGGCAGCTCCACCACATCCCGTGTCAGTTCTTGACTCTACCGAGTACATTCTTCACACATTAGTAGTTGTTGTTTAGTCACTTAGTCATGTTCAACTCTTTCATGAACCCGTGGACTGTAGCCTGACAGGCTCTTCTATTCATGGGATTTCCATGTCAAGAATACTTGAGTCAGTTGCCATTTCCTTCTCCAGGGATGGAACCTGTGTCTCCTGCATTGGCAGGCAGATCCTTTACCGCTGAGCCACCAGGGAAGCCCCTCATACTACTTAGAGGGGGGTTTAGAGACAAATCAGATTGTGTCTTTGTCCTAGTGAAACCCTCCCACAGCCTCTGTGAGCAATTAGGATAAAATCTACATTTTTCACTTTGCCTTCAAAACTCTATGCATCAGTCTCTGCCTCCTACTCTAGCCTCACTGGCCCAGCCCTTGTGGCCTCAAGATCTTGGCCCATGCTATGTTCTTTTGCAGGAATACTATTCCCTATCTTTGGACCTGGCTTCAGTGCCTACCAAGAAGTCTGCATGAAACCCGTTCTTTAGTGTCTGCTCTCCTTATTGTGCTTTGCAATTTATGGACCCTTGTTTACAGATAAGGATGCTAAGGCCTGGGGAGAAGAGACTTGTCCAAGTCTGGTGATGGGAATAACTTGGAAGTGCTAGCATAGCAATCTATACACAGTATCCAAGCTCTTAGCCACCAGCAACTAGACTGCTCTTTCCTCTGTATATCTTTCCTCCAAGACCCCAGTTTTGAACCTACTCTTCTTTATGCCCTTGGAGGCCCTGGACAGGTTTCTATTGTAGCAGCAGAGTAGTTTTATAGTACCTGTTTTCATGAGTGTTTCCAACACTATATGGTGAGTTCTCTTCTTGCTCAAGAGCCAAGTCTTAGTCACCCATGTGTATTTACTTGTGATGTGTCAAGGACACAGTGTGTGGTAATGCAGATGAAGGATGACTCATAACTCTTGTTCATCGTACCAGCAAGAACACACCAGAGTCCTTTGAAGACAAATGTGAAGACTGAATGAGAGAACTGAATAATGGAGGAACCAACTCCAGGATATCCTTCCTCTGCTGGGCTGTACATCACTCCTGCTGAGGAAAATGGAGTCGTGTGCTTTTGTGGGGGCCCTGTTACAGCATTCTTGCCTTGAGAACCCCATGAACAGTATGAAAAGGCAAAAAGATAGGACACTGAGAGATGATCTCCCCAGGTTAGTAGATGCCCAATGTGCTACAGGAGATCAGTGGAGAAATAACTCCAGAAAGAATGAAGAGACGGAGCCAAAGCAAAAACAACATCCAGTTGTGGATGTGACTGGTGATAGAAGTAAAGTCCAATGCTGTAAAGAGCAATATTGCATAGGAACCTGGAATGTTATGTCCATGAATCAAGGCAAATTAGAAGTGGTCAAACAGGAGATGGCAAGAGTGAACATCAGCATTTTAGGAATCAGCGAAATAAGATGGACTGGAATGGGTGAATTTAACTCAGATGACCATTATATATACTACTGTGGGCAGAAATCCCTTAGAAAAAATGGAGTAGCCATCACAGTCAACAAAAGAGT